TCTGTGGACTTCCTGAGAGTAATGAATTGCAGTAATCCAGTTTTGATGTAATAAAAGCATGAACTAGTTTTTCAGCATGACTCCTGGATAGGATGCTTCTAATCTTAGTAATATTCCAAAGGTGGAAAAAGGAAATCCTACAAACCTGTTTAACAACAACATGTCATGATAACACCAAGGTTCCTTACTTTGTTCTCGGAGATTAATGTAATGCCATTAAGGTCAGGTGATTGACTAAGCAATTTCCTTTTTCTGAATTTCAGGTCCAAAGATGATAACTTCAGTCTTGTCTTGATTTAAAAGCAAAACGTTTTGAGTCATCCAATTTTTCATGTCTTCAAGAAAAGCCTGTAATCTAACTAGCTGATTAGGTTCATCAGGGTTGATGGGTAAATATAAATGAGTATCATCAGCATAATGGTGGAAGTTTATCCCTTGCTGCCTAACGACTTTACCAATTGGAAGCATATGTATAGTAAAAAGAATTGTCCAAGCACTGAACCCTGTGGTACTCCACAGGTAACCCTGGAGTATGAAGACGATTTGTCATGTACATTTACAAAATGAAATCTGTCAGACAGGTAGGATTTAAACCAGCCTTTGATCCCTACAACATGTTCAAGTCTTTCTAAAAGAACATTATGATCAACTGTGTAAAAGGCAGCACTGAGATCTAACAAGACTAGAACAGATTCTTATCTGAGGCCATGAGAATATCATTTGTAACTCTCACTAATGCAGTTTCAGTGCTGTGATACTCTCTAAAACCAGACTGAAATTCCTCAAACAGATCACTGGTGTTTAGATCAGAATCAGAATCAGAATCAGAAGGTTTATTGCCATTGTCAATGAACAAGCAGTTCACAAACTAGGAACTTGTTTCGGTACTAATGTGCCACATATAACATGAATAATAAATTTCAGAAATAGAATAAGTAGAATAAAATATAATAAAACTAGCATAAAACATTCAGCTATAAAAAAGGCAGGTAGTGGTAACATGGCCGATAACGTGACGTTGTGTCGAGTACAGAAGACGAGCATGGTTGTGTGATTATAAGCTATTTACAAGTCTAACGGCAGATGGAAAGAAGCTGTTCTTATGGTGGGAGGTTCTGGTCTGGATGGACCGTAACCTCCTGCCTGAGGGAAGCGGCTCGAAAAGTCTGTGTCCCGGGTGAGAAGGGTCAGCTGCAATCCGGTCTGCACGCCTCCGAGTTCTGGAGACGTACAGGTCCTGGAGAGATGGAAGGCTGCAGCCAATCACCTTCTCAGCGGAGCGCACAATGCGCTGCAGTCTATGTTTGTCCCTCACCGTGGCTCCAGCGTACCACACAGTGATGGAGGAGGTGAGGATGGACTCAATGATGGCCGTGTAAAACTGCACCATCATCTGGGTCGGCAGCTTGGCCTTTTTCAACTGCCGCAGAAAGTACATCCTCTGCTGGGCCTTTTTGATCAGGGAGCTGATGGATGGCTCCCACCTAAGGTCATGTGTGATGGTGGTTCCGAGGAAGCGGAAGGAGTCCACAGTGGTGACGGGGGTGTCCGTCAGGACGAGGGGGAGAGATGGGGCTGTGACTTTCCTGAAGTCCACAATCATCTCCACTGTCTTCTGAGCATTGAGCTCCAGGTTGTTGCTGCTGCACCAGTACACCAGCCGTTCCACCTCCCTCCTGTAGGCGGACTCATCACCATCAGAGATGAGCCCGATCAGGGTGGTGTCGTCCGCAAACTTGATCAGTTTAACGGAGTCATGGCTCGAGGTGCAGCAGTTTGTGTACAGGGAGAAGAGCAGAGGAGAGAGTACACAGCCCTGTGGAGATCCTGTGCTAATTGTCTGAATGGTGGAGACATTCTTCCCCAGCCGCACGCACTGCCTTCTGTCCGTCAGGAAGTCAGTGATCCACCTGCAGGTGGAATTGGGTACGTTAAGCATGGAGAGCTTGTCCTGGAGCAGAGCAGGGAGGATGGTATTGAACGCAGAGCTGAAGTCCACAAACAGGATCCTAGCGTAGGTTCCCGGGGAGTCCAGGTGCTGCAGGATGAAGTGGAGGGCCAGGTTGATGGCGTCGTCTACAGATGATGCTCACATACTTGGATGGCCACTATTTTCTCCAGGACTTTGGATAAAAATGGAAGGTTAGATATTGGACTATAATTCATTGGGTCATCTGGATCCAGAGGAGGCTTCTTAAGTGAAGGTTTGATTACATCAACCTTAAAATCCTGTGGTACGTATTCATTTACAAAGGATAGATTGATTATATCTAGAATGGGGGCAGTAACCAAAGGAAATGCATCTTTAAATAATTTGGTTGGGATTGGATCTAAAATGCAAGTTGAAGGTTTAGATGAAGCTAATATTTCTGATAACTCAGAAAGCTCAAATGGGTCAAAACGGTTCAAGCACAGATGAGGTTCTACAGTCACCTCTGATGCTGCCTCACTTACTGAGGAAGAAGAAATCGCATTAGGGAGGATGCTAAAGATTTTGTTTTTAATAGAATTAATTTTACTCGTGAAAAATCCCATAATGTCGTTGGTGCTGAGTGTAAGTGAGTGGCTAAGGGAATAGATGGCTCAGAGCTATGATTCTGTGTAAGTTTGGCAACCGTATTGAAAATAAATTTAGGATTATTCTTATTCTCCTCAATTTGTGATGACAAATAAGCAGTTCTAGCTTGTTGAAGCTTATTCATATAAAGCACAAGACCATTTTTCCAGGATAAGTAGGACTCCTCATGGTACGTAGAGCGCCATGTTCTCTCCAATTTTCTAGAGTTTTGTTTTAAAGCTCGTAAATGAGAATCAAACCAGGGAGCGAACTTCCTGTGCCTAATTACCTTCTTTTTTAAAGGGGCAACATCATCTAATGCCACACGTAAAGAAGAAGTAACATTATGAACTAAAGCATCAATTTTTGAGGGGCTAGAGCTGAAAATATTGCCCTCTGCTACATTCCTCTGAGATGCTGAGGACAGTAAAGATGGAACAGTTGATTTAAAAGATGCAACTGCATTGTCAGATAGAGACCGACTATAGTGAAATTTACTTTCATGTCTCGAAAACTCAGTTATAAAAAACTCAAAGGTTATCAGAAAGTGGTCCGAGAGGAATGGATTATGTGGAAAGATCGTTATTTCCTCACACTCTATGCCATAAGTCAGCACAAGGTCCAATGTATGATGGCAGGAGTGGGTGGAGCTATGTATTCTTTGGGTAAAACCAATTGAGTCTAAGATATTACGAAAGGCTACATTGAGGCTATTATTTTCAATGTCCACATGAATATTAAAATCCCCCACTACAATGACCTTATCAGTATTTAACACCAAATCAGATAAAAAAATCAGAGATCTTATCCAAAAACTCAGAGTAAGGGCCTGGTGGACGATACAAAACTACAAACATGAGTGGTTTTACAGTTTTGCAATCTGGATTAGGAAAACTAAGAATAAGATGTTCAAAAGAACTGTTACTATTAATTGTTTACATTGTTGTGGTTTAATAGGTGGACAGGTACGACACGTAATGGCTCTCTGTGAATACTTAGTGTCAGGCTGGAGCGGGAGGAGCTCAGGGGATGTATGAACAAAACTGACTGGCTGCCTTGTGACATGTATGGTGAGAGCATCAGCAAAAAGGCAATTCAGAAGTGGAATTGGTTTTTCAGCCAACAGAGAAAATAGGCCCAAGGCAACAGAAAGTTAAGCACAGAAAATAGATTGGCTTACACTGCTTGGATGAAATTAAGTGAAATGAGAGCAAAAATGTTCTCTAAAGGAGTGAAAACTTTATTACTTTTCCTTTCCTACAAAGTCAATGTAAAGGTCAGAATGGTGGAAATGAGAAGTGTTGGAATCAAAGTAAACAAATAAAGTTTCAACTCCAATTTGGCTCGCTATCTGTAGCGTTTCATATGTTATGTGTAAATATATCCACTGAAAAGGAGTGCAGAATGTGTTGATTCTTCAGAAACTGCAATTTATTTTACAGCTCTTGTTATTTTTTCTCAAACAAAAAAATAAATAAATAAAATAAAATGAGTAGCTGTCAACCAATCGACCAATTAATGTCTATGCTAGTATTCAATTATGAAATAAGATTATCATTTTTTTCAACACATCTTTTGGATTTTAATTACTGGAATATATGGGGTTTAAGAAAAAATTGACGGCGATACAACATTGTTTTAAAATATTAGAAAAATGTTATAATAATAATAGGAATAAAATAAATAATCTAATTACTAATTAAAAAAGAAATGTTTAAGTTTCTGTAGTAATTTCTAAATCAGTTTAAAATCTCAACAAGGTAATAAAAATACTGACCTTGCTCACTTGAGTCTCTCTATAACAGAAAATCTTTTTCACATCCTCTGTTTAGGCTTTGTCTGGTTTCACACACACACACACACACACACACACACACACACACACACACACACACACACACACACACACACACACACACACACACACACACACACACACACACACACACACACACACAGAGACAAATGCTTGATTGCTTCCTTTGCTGTTATTGCTTCTTGTTGTCATCTAGATGAAATATCGATGATTGATAAAAAGTAGAGCATGACATCTCTGCAGCCATTCCTTTAACAGTGCTACCTTGCTAAAACCTCTGCTTGTTCTGGTAGAGGAAGTGAGCCCATCTCTTTCTGCATTTACTTATCAAGTCCTGTCATAGAACCAGCCAATGAGGAGAAGTCGCCTGACTACGAGCACTAGCTGCTGAAAGAACCAGAAGCATTTTAAAGGGACCTAGGCAGTTTTGGCTTGCTTCTTTTGTAGAACCGAGAACAAAACCTATCTCCTCGCTGTGCATTCATATTCCAAACATCTTAATCTAACAGCTGAAACGTCTTCCCAGCTTTCATTAGTGTCTATAGGAGTGATTCATGAGCCAGGTAAAAGGTCATTTTAGCACATACTGGCTCAAAAAGTATTTAAAATTATGAAAATGTTGCTCACCTTGTCCCACTGCCTCTCCCTGTCCAGCGTGATGACTATCATGGCTGGATTCACCAGATAGCCGTTACTGTTGAAGGAGAAGTCATTGTGCTCCCATGTTACATTCAGCATGTGTCTAAAGAAAAGAAAAGAGCAAGATGAGTGCATACAGCTCAAAAATCATCACACGTTTCAAACAGTCCAGTGTGTCTGTGGTAGGATGCATGTAAGGATGTGTTTCTAAAACCACACAAAACAAAAGTTAAGATTACACAGTTAGATTATCTTGTGTCTTGGATTACATTTGTCGTCACAATGCATGAAATGAATCTTTTAATGATGACTGATTTACTCATTTGCTGAGATTGAAAGTTAAAGGGCCATGTCACTGAAAAACATTGGTCACTCTGAGTTGCACATCCATTCTTTACATGAACACTTTTTTTATTTCTTGCATTATCCACAGGAAAAATTGCATTCATGGCCATCTTGGCTTGCAACCACGGAAGGCCGTATAGATTTAGAAGATGCTAACCATTAGCCATAGCAACTCCACAACATGGCAAAACACATTGGGGCTTTTGTTATTTGTTGAGATAAAACGTCAATGTTTCAGTTTTATACCCAAGAAAGAAGAGTGATCGAAGGCAGCAGAAGAGTCACACTGGTGTTAGCCAATCAGAGGGGAGAAATGTTCATATATCATGAATATTAATATGTAAGACTCATCATGTTCCACCCCACACTCATCTGCCTCCTTAAACAGAAAGTGTCAGACACAAAATAACTCAGAAAGCATTTATTCATTCTAGAGACCGTAGCACATTTATTGAATAACAAGTGAATGAGACCTTTAAAGAGAAAAGGGATCAGCAGCAGTTGTTTCTGTATCACACTGAGAGTGTTCTTCCTGCTGAAGAGGTGTTAGCATCTATTATCTTCAGCTCATCAATGAGTGCTGATATAATCTATTTAATTCTTATTCTAATATTTCACAGTTAAAGATGCAGTTCTTTGTGATGATTTCTGGGAAGGTTTTACCCAGGTGTTAATGCAGCTCTCAAATCAAACGTTCTACTTCCCTTCTGATTATGTGAGCAACAGCTTGTTTTCTTGCACACATTGGAAGATTGCACATTTCCTCTAATATATTATCTTTACGGTTTCTAATCTGAACAATGACTGGTGTTGTCTGCATACTTTAATATAGAGTTGTTTGTGCTCTTCACAAATGTTTTCTTCCCTGTTTGTCAACTTTGAGTAAATTAATTTATAAAATCCTTTTTATTTTGTAAAACATTGACGTGAGATGCAAGATGCTGATATTCTTGGAGACATTTATGGAAAGAAAGAGACAAAAATGTATGAAAATGAATTTCTAGACATTCTCATATTAAATTTCCTAATGCAAAAATATGTTTTAATAAAAAACACAGAAGAAACATGTTGGTACAATTGATCAAATCAACACAGGGTATATGGGGCGACAGTGGCACAGGAGTTAAGTGCTCGCCCCGCAATCGGAAGGTTGCAGGTTCGAGCCCCGCTCAGTCTGTCGCTGTCGTTGTGTCCTTGGGCAAGACATTTAACCCACGTTGCTTGCTGGTGGTGGTCGGAGGGATTGGTGGCGCCAGTGCTCGGCAGCCTCGCCTCTGTAAGCGCGCCCCAGGGCAGCTGTGGCTACATCGTAGCTCATCCCCACCAGTGTGTGAATGTGTGTGTGAATGGGTGAATTACTGATTGTGTTGTAAAGCACCTTGGGTGGTTCCAGGACTCCAGAAGGCGCTATATCAAATACAGGCCATTTACCATTACTTAGATATATTGTATATCTAACTTTTACCTTGTTTTTGTCACAATCTGCCCCTGCCCAACCTGACTGTGTTCCTCTCCTGCCGTGATTGCCCTTATTGTTCTCACCTGTCCCTCGTTTACCTGCCCATGTTTCCCTAATTAGCCCTCTGTATTTAAACCACCTGTTTTGCCCCGTCCTTGGTCAGTTCATTGTTGTTGTTGTTGTCTGCTGGTGTTTCTGTTCATCCCATCCTGCCATTAAACCATTTTTTACTTTACTGAAGCCTGTATTTTTCCTCCTGCTCAGCTCATCCACACATGGTCCGCCGTCTCCACCTCCTACACCGTGACAGTTTTCATAAGAAAATCCAAGTTTTGTCATTCATTTTGAATGATATTTTAAGGTTTCTGCAAGTTAGCTTGACATTCTTCAGCTAGGAAATCTAAAGATAGCCTAACCAATTACCCATAATACTTTATAAGTAGGGCTATTAGCTGACTAAAAGTTTGAACCATGATTAATCCCGTGAGTGGCTTAATGAATTAGTGGTTATTTGGGAGTTATAAATAATATATATATGTGTATATATATATATATATATATATATATATTTCATGTTTTTAATGCTTTATTGGCGAATAAGCAGACATAAATGAGTAATTGATGCAAATAAATGCTTATTGCAAAAATCCAAAACAATGACAAGTACTATGCAGAACTCTCCAGTTCACCAAAAGGAGTTCAGACCAAAAATTGGGTTAATGTGCTTTGGCTATAGATCCTGTGCACGAGAAAATGCTAACTTCCAGGGTATTTACCGGAAGGTAGCAGCGTAGTTTCCTGTTAGTGTTCTACATGCCACAACCTAATGGCTTCCACAAAAAAGAAAGTCATCACGGCTAAAACTACCACAAAATTTCAACCTAGTGACGGTGGAGGAGGTAGTTGCCACTGTTGTGTAATGCTTCCAATCGATTGAACAGTTTGTTGAGCTTCCATCGCTTTCCAAAACAGGATAATCTGCGCAAGCATGGATCGGTTAGATAAGACGTGTTGGGTTAGTAGTCACACCAAACACAAGGGTGTGTAGTCGGCACTTTGAAAGTGCACGTATCAGAACTTTGCCAAGTGGTAAATGGAGCCTTTTGCCCAATGCCGTTCCCACATTATTCCAGTGGAACAACTATAAAGAAGCTAAGGGGAAGCAAATCGGAGTTTGGGAACGTCGCCGCGGCCGATCCAGAATGACATGGCACAGCTGGAAGAGGACATTTCCGCTGCGTCAGGGAGTCCCTTGGCTGTTGAATTGGAGCTTCCACAAGCAGTCCCTACTCCTGGACCAGTGTGGAGGTTCCTCCAGCCATTTCTCAGTGTTAGTATTATTTAAATATCTTTTTCCACACGCTGGTTTATTATTTCATTTTGTTGCAATATTGTAAGATCACTAATGGGTGCACACATTTAGTAATTTATCTTACACATAGTTTTTTTTTTTTTATCATTAACTATTTTCATTTGTATTCTGAGATTGGATGAACTGGCAGAGAGAGGGGACACGCCCAGTGTAACTCCAGGCAGGAAGTGGAACATTCCATCTGGCTCCTGGAAGCAGGGAGCTTGATACTGAAGAAACCAGAAACCAGACGTTCTGAAGCTCTATTGAGTTTACCAGATTTTGTTAGGATGTATTAGTTAAACTTTTTTTTTGTGGTAGTTATACTTTGTTGACTTAGTTTCCTAGGTTTATTTACTGTTTGTCTTAGTGTTTCCCTTGTCTCTCCCCTCCTCGTTGTCTGTAGGCTAGCCTGTGTGTATAAATTCCCCTGTGTGTATCAGTTTTAGAGAGTCTTGCTCGTTACTTTTAGTTAAGATTATTTTTGTGGCCATTTTTTCCTTTGGGCCCGTTTTTGTTTTGATTTTGTTTAATTCTTTATGAAATAAATGGAGAAAATATTCTTTTTATACCATTGTCCTGGAGTTTTACTGCTCGGTCCCTGACAGTTGGTGGCAGAGGTGGGATCTTCCAGTTAAAGGACATTGGTAAATAGATTCTCCCAATTTTTTTTCTTTTCTTTTATCCTGACGAATCTACAATGAAGGGAACCAAATCTGGTAAAATCAAGTCAGCCCCTTTAGAGAGAGAGAAGCACAGACAGAGGATGGGAGTGAGGGCTGTGGAGCTGCTGCTGAAGAGGAAGATCATGGCAGAGAGCCAACAATATCAGACCTGGCTGGCATCCTTCAAGCTCACATTGGACGGCAGGAAGCCCGTGAGGTACAGTGGAAGAAGGAGATTATACACCAGGATCAAAGATTTAAAGATCTTCAACACCAGTTCAGTCTGTTTCAGCAAGAGTTTCAGGCCCAGACCTCTGCTGGCTTGCTACCTGGAGAGCAAGACCACGCCCGCTTCTCTGCAGGTTTGGGGCCTGCAGGCCATGAGAGGCCTCATGAGTATGCTGATTGGGATGAGGTGGAACCGGAGCCTGCACTACGCTGTTCAAAATCAGGTGACTCAGTTTCTGTTCGTCCTTCCTATAAAGAACCAAAATTGCAAAAGCTAAGTGAAGAGGATGACATTGAGCATTTTCTTATAACTTTTGAAAGAATAGCATGTGCATGTAGATGGCCGAGATCTGACTGGGCATTCCATTTGATTCCACTATTGACGGGTAAAGCCAGAAGTGCCTATGTACATAAGGATGTGGATGCATCAATGGACTACGATCATGTTAAAGCTGCTATTTTGCAGAAATATGAAATAAGCAGTGAGACTTATCGTCTGAGGTTCCGTTCTCTTCAAGTTGAACCAAATGAGTCCCCCAGAGAACTCTTTGTGAGACTAAAGGAGCTCTATGGGAGATGGGTCAGACCCAGAGGTAAGACCATTGATGAAATTAATGAAACAATAATCCTTGAACAGTATTTCCGAATGCTATCGCCAGAACTCCAAGTTTGGATCAAGGAGCGTAATCCAAGGGACGCAGCAGAGGCAGTTTCTTTGGCAGATGCGTTTGTGGCAGCCCGTCGAAGGAACCAGTCATGGGCTTATAAGGCTATGAAAAAGGATTATACCCCTGCGCCAGGTAACACCAGTCCGACAGGAAATGTTGGTAAGCCATGTGGAAGGGAGAAATATTTTCCCAGCCAAACAAAAAATCTGGGGCGGAAACCTGTCTGTTATTTGTGTGGGAAAGAAGGCCACACAAAACCGGTGTGTCCACAAAATCCAGCTAAACTCTCCCAGATGTGTTTTGTGCCCAGAGGGAACCATGCCCCAAACCCAACGAACCAGCTCTTGGTGGAGACCACAGTGGAGATAAATGGACAGAAAGTTAAGG